AAATCTTTTCAGAATATTATTGATTTTGTAGATATTTCTCAATCTGTTTATAATTATCTTGGTGAAATATTTTTGTGTAATCTCTAGCAACACTATCGGTCTAGTGTTAAGAAGTTCATATTCCTATGGTTTTGGCTTTGCTATAGGGTATATATAGCTTTGCTTCTATTCTATTGGAATAGCTTTTCACCTTATAAAGCAGTTAAGCATCTTTTTAAGATATACTTTACTTCTTAATCTAGTCTTTTTAGCATTTTATAACTGATTTGTAATTTCCTTGAAATTTTATTGTTGAGAAATCCTTGAAGCATTTTATATAGTTCTTCTTTAAAAATTAGTTCCAGTAGGTTTTTGTACTAACTTTTTTTAATATAACCTTTAGAATTGTATTCTTTTTTCCAATCTTATATAGGGCTGTCAAAATTGATATTTCATTTTTTGAATACCTCATAATGATATTTCTTTATTTTTATTTCAATTTTTCCCGTTTTTATAGTTATATATTCCTTTTCTCTATATTTATCTTGATCCTATTTAGTATTATTTTGATCTGCTCTTTGTTAGTTAAGGAGTTTACTATTCCCCTTTGATTGTTGCATAAGTCATCACATCTTTGTTTCAAGATTTTTTTAATAACATTTCTTGTTTTTTTTTTGTTTCTGTATTCTAATAAATGAATTTTAGACCTTCTATTGTATTCTATATACCTTTAATAGTTTCTATGAAATTTGAGAAATGCTATATTGGATGCAATAGTTTTTGATTTGATGATTAAAACTGAATATAGTATTGTATTTTCTAATCATCATATTAAGTGTTTGTAATTTGATTGAATCATGTATACTTTCTGCCTTCTTAAAGAGTGCAACTAACTAAAGAACCCTCTGATACTTGATAAATTCTGGCCCATACTTATAATGTTTTTCCTGGGAAGCAAATAGCTTCTTGGTCACAAGCTTGTTATGTGTTGCCCTATATATTTGTTCTTCGAATGCCTCTGCAAATCTTGTTTGCTTGAACTTCTTTTTTACCTTTTTCAGACTTTTCTTTAAATAATGAATTCATTACCATTCTGAGTTTGTGATTTGAGCTTTTACTAAATGTCTTCCACTGCTCAGATATTGATTCCTTTATATTGATTTTTTGTTCACTTCTTATGAAAAACTTGTTTTTAATATTTCTTGTAAAGAGATTAGTGTAATGTATTATTGGTGCTAATATAGTATAATCATTTCTTATTGTTTCTTCTATACTTTAGTTGTCAAATCTGTATATTGGATAGTTTGTAAAACTTTGAGATATCTATATATAATCAATCTAACTACTGCTAATAGTATTTCATCTTATTGGAATTTTATTTTTTCCTTTACATATAGCCTATATATCAAGAAAGGACCATTTATCTAAAAAGAAGAACAACAGTATTTCTGGATATCAAGATGGTTTGAATTTAGCTTTAGATATTGTTGCCCTGTCTTTTACAAAGTTATACTGTATGTAACATTAAAGTCTCCTATTACTATTATGTAAAAGCTTGTTTATTCTTTTCTTTAATAAAGCTTTGTATTTTTTGCATAAATTATTAATTATAATAAATAATTTTAATATAATAAATAATTATATTAGGTAATTGTTATATCAATAATATAATATATTTTAATTCAATAATATTATCAGTTTTAATAAAATTAATTGGATAATAGATCCAAATTATTATATATTTTTACTATACAAAAATCTTTTATAACTTATAGTATTTTCAAGATAATAAAGATAAAAAATATTTTACTGTTGTTTGGTTTTTTTAAAAAAAACCTTTATATTATTGATAGAAAAAATGGTTCTTGATTTTTTTTAATTGTTAAAAATCAAGTTTTTATTTGAAGAAAATTGTAAATAAGAAGTTAAAATTAATAATAATCCTTGAAAATACTTTTCAAGTTGTTTTAAGAAAAATATAAAGACTTTAGTAATAAAGAAGTTATTAAATTTTTAGTAAAAAAATTTTTTTATATATAATTAGAGAATTAAATAAAAAAATTTTTTTTTTTAATTTGCAATTATGTCATTATGACATACTGTATCTTTATTGAGATATCAATAAAATATTTATAATATTACATAAATTTTTATATGATAATCAACTTATTTTTATACATTATTAGTTAAAGAATTATATTACTTAAAAAATATGAGAAGTCCATTTAAGCTAGTTTGGATTAAACAAAACAAAGTTTTAACTAGGTACTCTAAATCAAATTTAGACAATATTTCATTTCTCTAATAGATTGGTACTAAGACTTCTATTTATCAAGATCATCAACTACAGTATGCTAATATCCCAAAAAACAATAAATTGTTAAATTAAGATACTGGGAAAAGGGATAAAGAAAAAAAACCAATTCAAAATCCTTAAAAAGGTTATTATTCAAGTTGATACCATAACTTCTATTTAATATATTTATGTTACTCGCGACTAGAGCTTCCTCAAACCCGAGTCCTCTCAGTAACTGTACAGTAGAAAAAATAATTATATATATATATATATATATATTAAATAAAGAATAACCATTAATATTATATTATAGTAAATAATAACTTTAAACAAAAGTAAATAAGTTGAATAATATATAAAAAAAAAGGTATAACAAACGAATAGTATAAAATTAAAAACTTGTTAGCGTCAAAAAATAGAAGAAAGATAAAGTATAATATACAGTATACAGTATACAGTAAGTGACTTTTCATTTTTCCCCTCCGCTCAATTCCAATATTGAATGTCCCTTGACTAACGGATGATTCACGACCCGCCAACACATACTACCCTTCAAGAAAACCTTGGCGAAGGATTGCTGCCCTAACAATGTCGATCTCAACATTTTCACGTGAATCGGTTTTCATAAAATAGCTTTCTCCGGTTACATTTCCGTCAACTTTCAAAGTTTTCCTTTTTCCTTCGCCTCTATCTACCTGCCCCACCAAAAAGGTAATTACGAACAAAAATTCCTTACCATTGATTTTGTCCGCGTGCATTGCTAAAGATTGTAAGTACAGTAAGTATCAATGATTTAAAAGTTCGTGCACATGATTAACCGTATTCGTAGAGGCTGACGTGGTTGCGTATGATAATTAGATACTAGATTGCGTAGATAATTCATTTACAACAGAAATCACTCACTTAAAACACTACACTTCCATCGTATGGTCAACTCGGATTATGAAATCTATTCTATTATTGCCATAACTTCGAAACTAGCGTAGTCGGTAGAAGGCTCTGGCAATAAATGCACGAGGAACGATCCATGTTTTTCTGAAAAGAATAGAGAGGCTTCAGAGTGTTTTTCTCAAGAAAAACTATCTTAACAATAGTTCCATGTAAAAAAACCCGATGAATGTCGTTAATAGAAAATTTCGCGATCATTATTAGTTATCGTAACTTAGCCGAATTCAATTTTCAAAATAATTTCCCGCGTGAACACAGGCAACCAAGGATGATTATTATTATTATTACGTTATTAAAATGCATTGAACAGTTATCTTCAAGGAACATTAGCGAAAATAATATTATAGGTTGTCGGCTGGAAAGTGAAGGAAATCAAGATTGACGTTCTTTTCCTTTATTATTTTTGTTCATGCGTTTCTCGATTCTCAGCAATTTATTTCCGTATTTGACGGTGCGCACATTGATTGCCAATTGGTACGAAGATTCCTCGTAAAATTCCACGAATGCACACGCCTTCCGATAAGGTAATATTAGTAATATTACAGCTAAATAATTGTAGATTTCAAAGTGATGTAATTCGGCAAACCTTGCTCTTAACGATATCCACGTGTTTGATCTTTCCAAAGTATGTCTCCAGAAAATATTTCAAATCCCTGTATTCGGTGTTCTTTGCTATGCCACCAATAAAACACCAGCAGTCTTCAGTTTTCTCTATAAAAAAGGAAAGAAAGAAATCGGGAAATGCCTGAAATTTAATGCAATATGCGAACACATTAAATACCTTTTGCGTCCACTTCATTTTGAATGCCAGGGTTCTGAGAAATGGTGCCAAAATCAACGTTACGAAAATCAGGAGCAGTTTGATTGTTATTCGCTGAGAAAAAAAAAAGAAAAAAGAAAAAAATATCTCTTTCATTAAATCCGCGTTTTCCAATAGATGAATTCCTACATTGCGTATTTACCAAATTTGTCTCCATGTGTGATTTTATAATGTAGAAAATCGTGAATTAAGTCTCGTTGCAAATCAACCAATTCATCTCTCTTTTTGTTTATTTCTTCATACTGCGCTTTGATTAAATTCCGTAGGTCAATGCGCACATGGAGACGATCACAATCTTTGCAACTTCCAGTCATATTATTTATTATTATTATTAATTATTTTTGGTTTGGTTGTTTATTGTTGTCCTATTATTATTGCTTCTCGAACCAAGAGAATATGGTGTTTACTAATTGAAGGCCTTTTAATACCAATGCATTAGGATCCCGTGATCGAATGACGACGCACCATCAATTTATTTTCTTACCAATCAATCCAACCGCGTCAATAATTCAAAGTCCTACCCTTAATTGATTATTGATCAATTACTTCAAAACCTCCATACATCGAGATGCCATTATCCAAAACGCTTGAATTCTCGATAATATCTTTCGATGCGTTTTTCATGACTGATCCTAGTAATTTGGAATCTGCTCCGAGAAGGAAAAAATCGATCCATCCGACTATTGACTCATCGGATCAAGAAGATTGGGTAATAGGAATTAAAGTTTCCAGGGCTTTTTTTCGGCAAAATTTCGTATGTTGTTTAGCCGAACTACAGTATATCATACCATACGCAAGCATCTGAATCCCTCATTGCATAACGTAATAAAATAAATATTTGACAAAATATCATTTTGAAAAAAAAAATAATAATGATCGTTCATGCTATTCACTACGTATTCTTTTGTCTATTTAGTAATTCAATTTGACCAATGAAGTAATGATATTAGATCTTTCCAAATACTCAATTTTTACTTTGATCTAAAGTTATCAGATGGTTGCATCTTTTAAATTAGACTCTTGCACGGTTCCAATTATCCTTGATATTGAGTTTTTTTGCGTGCATTGTACAAATGCAAAATTTGTTGAAATTTAAGGTATACAATCAATAACTGCCGTAACTCGTGTTAGTATAACTGAACTGTACATATACGTAATTGCACCACCGAAAGTCAAACACGTATAATTTCTCCAAAAATAGAAATACGTATATCTCAATGAAATGATTGTCCTGGACTACGCACGTAATTTCTTCTCCACAATTTCAAGAATGAGCATGAAAAATGAAGTTCTATCAAAGAATCTCTGGGATATCTTATCGCGTGATTATAAAGCGATTCTTGAATCAGGAGATTTCTCCGATGTCATAATTACGGTTGGGAGGGGATCCAATATGAAAGAATTCCGAGGTCATTCCCTTGTGCTCAAGACTCGATCATCTTATTTTCGCATCGCTTTATCAAGAGATTGGGCCCAAATGTCTCCCGAAGGAATGATTAAATTTACTAAACCAAATATAGAACCAGAGATATTTGAGGCCATTTTCAAGTGAGTAATTTTATTTGGCATTCGAATATCACCAAAGCTGGAAAACATGGTTTTCTTGTAACATAAATTCTTTTCTAAAAAAAAAAAATTAAGTGGCGTACGTATTTCTTTTTTTTTTTTTGTCTAATAACTTTCGCGCGAGTTGTAGTTGATTACGAGCAACAAGTAACTCTTCGATCTTAACAATCCGGCAATAGCATCATAGGTGTTTCCTATTTTATAAACATTTGAACATTTACAAACACTTCAAAATTTTTTCCTCTTCGAAAAAAAAAGGTACATTTATAGTGGAACCATTGATCTCGGGAGTTTCAGTGTACCCGATATTCTCGAACTTCTAATAGCAGCAGACGAACTGTCCTTCATAGAATTATGCGACTGCATCCAGGAGTTTCTGGTGACCTCCCAGGATCTGGTCAAGCAATATATTGTCTTTGCCGCTACGACAGCCCAAAAATATTCACCTTTTGGAAAGTTGGGATCGTTGTGCAAGAAAATTCTGGAGCAAACCCCGACAGTTTACTTTCATTCCCGAGACTTCACCACTGCTCCACCTGAATTGCTTTCATTGTTATTTAAGAAACACCCGAACGCTCTAAAGGAGACCGAGTTTTGGGAAAAACTTATTGAATGGGGCCGTGCGCAAGCTCCTTCACTTCCCATCGATGTCTCAAAATGGACCGAATATGATTTTTCAACCTTTGGTGATTTGGTGAATCCTTACATTTGTTACATCAAATTTAACCGTATGAGCCCTGATGAATTCTTTGAAGTGATTCATCCATTTCGTCAAATTTTTGATAATGATTTTTACGAACAGCTCTTGGAATATCACGCTAGCGCACAGAAAAGACATCCACACTATCCGGAAATAGATTCGAATCTCATTACCAGACGGCACGCAGCTTTGATTTCTGAGTGGATCAATGAATCAAAGACAGATATCAATGACACGGACGCAGCTGGCACTAGCGACCGAGACAATTCAAATTGCGAATACGAGTATAATCTGTTGACACGTGGATCGCGTGATGGATTCACGGCGAAAATATTTCACAATCACTGTGATCTGAAAGGTCCTACCATCACTCTAATACGCGTGAAAGATACAAACGAAATATTGGGAGGGTATAACCCATTAGACTGGAAGCCTGGTAGTTGCAATGATATTGCACGAACACGAGAGAGCTTCATATTTGCGTTGGATTATGAAGATATGGATAAGTCGATTCTCAGTCGAGTTGTCGATAACGGTAATGCTATATTCCAGTTGAATCGATGCGGACCTCATTTCGGAAATCAAATCAGACCGGATTTGGGTATTATGGGCATATTCAATAATGCGGATGAGGGACAATGTAATAAGTTTAAATACCGAAAGCGAATCAGAAAGACGAATGGAAAATTTCAGGTGGGTGAGTATGAGGTTTTTCAAGTTGTTCGGAAGAAATAACAATAGTTTGCCCGGCTTTTTCGTTTTCGACTTGACATCGCTGGCGGTAAACTCTTAATCATCATTTTTCATTGAGCCCTTCACACGCACCGCTATCACTCATTCCAAATCATTGTAGCATATACAACATATTCAATTCTCCATAATAAATAAATACTGTATATTGAAGTTCACCATCGACACGTGTTCATAGATGTGATTTCATGGAATTGGTGAAAGTTGTCAGTTAAAATTTTGCACCGATGAATATAAATGGTTATTTGGATATTAATTGATATAAGTCAACATTCCCTGCATTTTTTTTTTATCTAAATCTAACTTAGATTGTTGCAAGTTTAATAACTCAAAGATCATCCATTCAATAATTTAAACCGATACTAAACTTTATATGCAGTAACTATTATACCTTAATCAAAAAAAAAAATACTGTATATAAGAATAATTGATTTTGAAATATTATACATGAATCTTTGATTCCTATTTTTACATAGTACTCATATTATATAAATTATAGGACTACAATTATAAGATCAGAAAGATATATAGTATATTTGCCTTCAAAAATAATATTAATTAATTTTTTTGTTAACCTGCAATCATTCCATAATGACATATCTTTATTGAGAAATTAAAACAAAATCTACGATTTAATGTTTCTGTTATTTTTTTTTCACTTATTTTACATTTTCAAGCCCCAATAATTTTTTCACACTAAAAAATGTTAAGTTCTTTTCTTTGAGTAGTCATTTTTAATAATAATAATAATAAAGTTATAAAAAAAAAAATAAATATGTAAACAAAGATTTATATGAGTATATATATAAATTAATAAATAATTATTACATGATCAAAATTTTTAATAATTATTATATAATTAAAATTTTTTTAATTTTTTTTTATAAAAAAATAATTAAATATACAGTAATAATATAAATTTATTCAAATATAATAATTTTTACTGTAAGTAGAATTTATAATAAGGAACAAGTTTTCTTAATA